CCTTCCTGAAGAGGGGGGACAGGCCAGAACATGGGCCTTCCTGAAGAGGGGGGACGGGCCGGAACATGGGCCTTCCTGAAGAGGGGGGACGGGCCAGAACATGGGCCTTCCTGAGGGGGACCTTGTGGGCGCTGCAGGATCTCAATCTATGGTGGTGTGTTTGGTGACTGTGGTCCCAACTGCCTTGAGATCATTCACAAGCTCCTCCCCCCGTGTAGTTGTGGGCGGATCCCTCACTTATCTCATCCTCACCCCATGAGGGGAAATCTTGCATGGGGCTCCAGACCGAGGGCCATTGGTGGGTATTTTGTATTGCTTCTCCCCGAGCTTCTTGCTGAGAGTCTTGTAGCCCATTCCAGCCTCGGGCAGGGCCACGGCCCCCGACCTCCTCTGACAGCTCTCTGGTCCTCCCATGGTGGGGGAGGGGTGATGGAGGAAAGAGATTCCGTGGACAGGTGACGTTGGGAGCACCTTCTTAAAGTGACAGGACTCATCTGTGTACCACATGGACAGTCTGTGGGAGGAGCCAGAATGATTGGTGGTCGGTAGGGGATCAAATAATTATTTTACTCCCTGAACCGCAACTCCATTTATAACATGTGGGTCATGTGACCTCTCTGGATTTTGGTTGATATTCTGTCTCTGTCATGTAAAATAAAGTTATAGACCTTTCATCTGCAGGGGAGCCAATCATTATCCTCCTCGCTGTACACGGTGAGGGTTCTAATCCGGGATTGGGGACACTCACTGAGGAACACTACTATGATTTTGTGGTGTCACTTCCAGTCATGTCAGACTTCTACGGGGAGCAGAAGAAGAGTCTGAAATCTAACATGTGATCAGGAGTGGGAGGAGCCCAAAATTTGGGTTCAATTGTCAGATTTGTTATGAGAAGCTACGAAAGCAAAAATGGTGAAAAACAAAAAAAGTGACGTGAGAGGGGAAGAGAAGCCACCGGAAACACTGAAACCAATACAATCATCATCAGAGGTTCTGGACCGTCTGTGACCGTACAATCATCATCAGAGGTTCTGGACCGTCTGTGACCGTACAATCATCATCAGAGGTTCTGGACCGTCTGTGACCGTACAATCATCATCAGAGGTTCTGGACCGTCTGTGACCGTACAATTATCATCATCACAGGTTCTGGACCGTCTGTGACCGTACAATCATCATCGCAGGTTCTGGACCATCTATGAACGTACAATCATCATCGCAGGTTCTGGACCATCTGTGACCGTACAATCCTCACAGGTTCTGGACCGTCTGTGACCGTACAATCATCATCACAGGTTGTGGACCATCTGTGACCGTACAATCATCATCGCAGGTTCTGGACCATCTGTGACCGTACAATCATCATCACAGGTTGTGGACCATCTGTGACCGTACAATCATCATCAGGTCACAACTCTCCCTGACCCCGGGGACCCCTCACACAGCCCCACAATGAGTCCTGGCAGCACCTTCCTGTACCAGAGCAACAAGCGGTGTCATGTGACCAATCTGCACCAATGAACTCTTCCCATGTTTGGCCTCATTGGTCATTTCACACCCTAAATTATATACACCCCGCCCCCCCGGTGTACAGGCGGGCGATCACACAGCATTCCCACCACTAGATGGAGCCCAGGAACCTCTATGACCCGTCTCCTGGCGCTCACCGTCCTAAACACCAGGAGGAGGATTCATAA